ACCACCATCAGATAGAACCACCATCCACAGAATCCTGTGGGGAGGGAGAGCACAGAGATTTTAGGAGAGGGTAATGTCGGTTTATGAGTAAAGTAATATGATTAATATATAAAATAATGATGATGATGATGATGATGGCAGCAGCAGGCGTCAGCATGGCCACGGTAGGTGTCAGGACCAGGGTCCCGAAGGAACCACGATCTATGGAGACCTGATAGGGGCGAAAGCACAAAAAAAACTCCCGGAAAGAAGCTGAATTAGTCATGTGCATTAATAAAACTTGAATTATGGTAGAAAGAGAGCGTGAGAGAGGAGCTCGGTGTGTCCTAAGAATTCCCCCGGCATTCTAAGCCTATAGCAGCTTAACTAAGGGCTGGTCCGGACTAACCTGAGCCAGCCCTAACTATAGGCAGAATCAAAGAGGAACGTTTTAAGTTTTACTTTAAAAGAGCTAACCGAATCTGCCCCCCGGACTGAAAGTGGAACCTGGTTCCACAAAAGAGGAGCTTGATAACTGAAGGCTCTGGCCCCCAGCCTACTTTTTAAAACCATAGGAACAACAAGTAACCCAGCATCTATGGAGCGCAGTTGCCTTGTAGGGCAATACGGTGTTACAAGCTCTTGAAGATACAACGGTGCCTCACCAGCAAGTGCCTTGTAGGTGAGGAGAAGTACCTTAAAATCTATTCTTGATTTAACAGGGAGCCAGTGCAGAGAAGTTAATACAGGAGTGATATGATCCCTTTTCTTAGTTCTTGTTAATACACGTGCTGCAGCATTCTGAATCAGCTGGAGAGGCTTAAGAGATTTACAAGAGCAGCCTGATAACAAAGAATTACAGTAGTCCAGTCTGGAAGTGACAAACGCATGAACTAATTTTTCTGCATCACTTTGAGACAGGAAGTTCCTGATTTTTGATATGTTACGTAGATGGAAATAGGCAGTCCTTGAAGTCTTCTTTATATGCGAGTTGAAGGTCATATCCTGGTCGAAGAGAACTCCCAGATTCCTGACGGTGCTGCTGGGTACCAGAGCAATTCCATCCATAAAAACTGTATCACGCGACAGCTGGCTTCGAAGGCGCTCTGGGCCTATCAGGATAACTTCCGTTTTTTCTGAGTTTAGCATCAGGAAGTTGCCGGTCATCCAAGTTTTGATGTCTCAAAGACATTCTTGGAGTCTAACTAACTGGTCCGTCTCTTCTGGCTTGATCGACAGATACAGTTGAGTATCGTCTGCATAACAATGGAAGTTTATGCGGTGTTTCCTGATAAGATCGCCCAAAGGAAGCATATAGAGGGTAAATAAAATCGGTCCAAGTACAGAACCTTGTGGGACTCCGTGACCAACATTGGTGGTCTTTGAGGATTCACCGTTTACAAGCACAAACTGGGATCGGTCCGATAGGTAGGATTTAAACCAGCTGAGTGCAGTTCCTTTGATACCAATTAAATGTTCTAGTCTCTGCAACAGGATACAATGGTCTATGGTATCAAATGCGGCACTGAGGTCCAGCAAGACAAGAAAAGAGATGAGTCCTTGGTCCGATGCAAGTAGAAGATCATTCGTAATTTTCACCAGTGCGGTTTCTGTACTGTGATGCACTCGGAATCCTGACTGGAAATCCTCGAACAAAGCATTGTTTTGTAGAAAGTCACATAATTGATTTGCGACGGATTTCTCAAGAATCTTAGAGAGGAAGGGAAGATCAGAGATAGGTCTGTAGTTAGCCAACACCTCTGGAGCAAGAGTAGGTTTCTTAAGAAGAGGTTTAATTACAGCTACCTTGAAGGACTGTGGTACATGTCCTGTCAACAAAGACAGATTCATAATATCTAATAAGGATGTGCTAACTAAAGGAAAAACTTCCTTAAGCAGTTTGGTCGGAATCGGATCCAAGAGACAAGTAGAAGATTTAGACTTTGAAAATAAAGAAGTCAGTTGATCAAGGTTGATGGAAGAGAAGGCATCCAAACAGGCATCAGGGCCCACTGCTGCATCCAAGGAGGACAGGTCGGCACTGGTTGAAGGCAGGAGACCATCAATTTTCTCAGAATCTCAGAATCTTATCATTGGAGAAGTTTATGAAGTCGTTACTAGTGAGGTCCAAAGGAATACACGGCTCGACAGAGCTGTGACTCTCTGTCAGTCGGGCTACAGTGCTGAAGAGAAACCTGGAGTTGTTTTTATTTTTCTCTATTAATGATGAGTAATAAGATGCTCTTGCGTTACGGAGAGCCTTCTTATACGTTTTAAGGCTGTCTTGCCAAACTAGCCTAGATCCTTCTGATTTGGTGGAACGCCATAATCGTTCAAGCTTCCGCACAGTTTGCTTTAGGTTCCGTGTTTGAGGGTTATACCACGGTGCAGACTTCCTTCTTGTTGCTATTCTTCTTTCCAGAGGAGCAATGGCGTCCAGCGCCACTCTCAAAGAGCCTGTAGCAGTATCGACAAAATTATCGATCTGAGACGGACTGAGGTTTTCACAGGAGTCTTCTTGTATCTTGAGGCAGGGCACTGAACTTAGGGCAGAAGGAATGGCTTCTTTAAATAAGGCTACAGCGGTATCCGATAAGCGTCGACTGTAGAAACCTTTGGCAGGAGGAGGTGGTTCTGATAGTAGAAATTCAAAGGTTATCAGACAATGGTCCGACAGGAGAGGGTTCTGTGGAAAAATTGTTAAATGTTCAATCTCAATCCCATACACAAGAACCAAGTCGAGAGTGTGGTTAAAACAGTGAGTTGGTTTATTTACACACTGACAGAAACCAATTGAATCTAACAATGAAAGGAATGCAGTACTAAGGCTGTCGTTGTCGACATCCACATGAATGTTAAAGTCACCCACAATAATTACCTTGTCCGTTTTAAGGACCAAACTCGTTAAGAACTGTGAAAATTCAGAAAGAAATTCTGAATAAGGACCTGGGGCCCTGTACACTATTACAAAGAGAACCGGCTGGATTATTTTCCAGGTCGGTTGCGAAAGACTGAAAACCAGGCTTTCAAATGAGTTATAATCCACCTTAGGTTTAAAGTTTATTAAAAGGCAGGAGTCATAAATAGCTGCCACTCCCCCCCCTCGGCCTGTGCCTCGGGGAATATGAGTATTAACATGACTCGGAGGAGTCGCTTCATTTAAACAGAAATATTCCCCATTCAACAACCACGTTTCAGTAAGACAAAATACATCAACATGGTGATCTGATATTAGTTCATTTACCAAAACAGCTTTAGATGACAGAGATCTGATATTCAAAAGACCCCCTTTAATTCTCCTATTTTGTTGCACTATTGCATTATTAGTTTTAACTTTAATTAAGTTATTTACTACAACTCCTCTGTTGTTTACCTTTAACTTAGATAAGTGTGTCCGTGGGGCAGACAAGGTCTCTATAGGGTTCATTATGCTGAGTGACTGCTCAGATTGAAGCGCAGAGAAGTGTGTAAGACTGCGACTCTGCTCCCTGGTCTGAACTCTGGGTCATGGATTAAGTCCACTAAGAAACTGGGTCAGGTTCTTAGAAAGAAGTTCAGCTCCGTCCAAAGTGGGATGGATGCCGTCCCTCCTAATCAGACCAGGCTCTCCCCAAAACGTCTTCCAGTGATCAACGAAGCCCACATTATTTACTGGGCACCACCTCGACAACCAGCGGCGGAATGACGACATGCGGCTATACATGTCGTCACTTGTCAAGTTTGGGAGGGGGCCAGAGAAAACTACGGTGTCCGACATTGTTTTAGCGTATGTACACACCGATTCCACATTAACTTTAGTGACCTCCGAGCAACGTAATCGGGAGTCATTACCGCCGACATGTATTACAATCTTACTGTATTTACGTTTATCCTTAGCCAGCAGTTTAAGATAAGACTCAATGTCGCCCGCTCTGGCTCCCGGTATACATGTAACTATGGTCCCTGGTTTCGCTAACTTCACGTTCCTCAGAATGGAGCTACCTATCACCAGAGTTGGCTTCTCAGCGGGTGTGTCGCCGAGTGGGGAGAAGCGGTTTGAAACGTGAAGTGGTTGGTGGTTAACCGTGTGCTTCGACTTAGACTTATGCTTACTCCGGACAGTCACCCAGCCTCCCGGCTGCTCGGGGGTTGCCGGGGGACGGCTAGCAGGAGCGAACGCTACGTCTATGTGGCCCGCACCGGCTACGGGGGTGGGCGGGGTAACTACAGCGGCTAACGACTGAGCTTCCATGGTGCGGAGCCGTGCTTCTAGCTCACTAAGCCTCGCCTCCAATTTATCAAATATACTACACTTCTTACATGTACCCTTATCGGTAAGGGAGGCAGAGGAATAGCTAAACATGTGACACACCGAGCAAGAAACAGCAGGAGAGGCAGGGAGGGAAGACATCACCAGGTTAGCTGCTAAGCTAATGCTAACGCTAATAGAAGTAACGTTGCCGCTAAACAACGTCCAAGCAACTATTCGATGGAGCGAAAATTTGCTAGACGGTGAGGCGTTTAACAGCGCCTCACATAGATAAGAATTCACCGTTGTGATGAAAAATATCACGCTACAGTCAACTCAGTATAGCTAGAGCTGTGAAAAGTTCGATGACATCAAACACGCTGGTAACAGGAAGTGACGCAACACGCTTACCGCCGTGAAGGAAAACACAGATCGAACCTTCACAACTAGAATCCAGAAGAACATCACTCTGTCACATGAACATGATGGATTCATCATCAACTGTTCTGCCAGATATCCTGTGAATGAAGGAAACGATGTAAAGACGTCAGAGGAGAGAAAGACTCTCAGTGTTTCATGTGAGTGTTTGTTCTTTGATCCTGTCAGCATACGATGATTCATGTGTTCACACAGTGTCAGCTGCATAAAGTTTAATGTCACATTTTCCTCAGATGCTCCCAAGAACACCTCGGTGTCCATCTGTCCATCAGGTCGGGTGTCAGCAGGTAGCCGGGTGAACCTGACCTGCTCCAGCAGAGCCAAACCTCCTGTGAGCCGCTTCACCTGGTTCAAGACCAGCAGAGATGCACCAATCAAAGTATCTGAAGGAGACTTTTACAGCCTCAATGTCACTGATGGAGGAGTTTATTACTGTGTGGCCACCAATCAGCTTGGTGATCAAACATCATTAGAGATCAATCTGACTATAGAAGGTAAATAAAAAAGGTACTTTAGCAATCAATATTGTTACATTCCCATAGTGTCTTTATTTAGTCACTTGTTTTTTTTCATCTTGTCTTGAGGTGGAGTTGATTATCTACTATTGGGTCCAGGTCTTGGAGGAATCATTTGGATCATCGTGCTCATCGGCCTGGTTGCCTTTGTTTGGTCAGTAGCATCATTAACGGGCATCAAAACGGGTGAAAAAGGTGAGAAGGATATTACCCCTCTAGGGCAGGGGTTTTCAACTGGTTTTGTCCCAGAGATTTCTTCGAGTCATTCGTTGACGGGGGGGGGGGGTGGTTAGATATTACCGACCATTTTACCGACTCGGTTCTTTGAATCTCGTTCAGTAAAATGAACGAATCTCTCTTGGAGTCATTCGTTGACGGGGGGGTGGTGGTAAGATAAATTCACCTCCCGACCGTGTCTTCGGGTCAATGATTCGTTCATCGTACTTTGAAGTCAGAATGCGTATCAGGTTGGCAGGTCTGCTTATTGATAGAACGGTGGACCACTTTACCTTCTGCCTCGTCAGTCCCCTCACAAAATCTACCTTCTCAAAAACGGTAGCGTTAGCTCATCATTTTCCACCGGAGCTTTAGCTAGCTGGCCAACGTTGCGTTGTCTCCTGCTGTGTTAAATGACCCAATTCATCAAGCTGTAGCTAACATTAGCTGAGTCTATGTCAACAAAGCTCCTTGGTAACTTAGATATACCAGAAAATATTAAAACCATCACTCACCCTGTTCGCAATTCACTGAATCTCACGCTCCCTTCTGAGACACGCACCTGTTTGCAGTTCATTGAAAATATGAATACCCCCCCCCAAAAAAAGACTCATCAAATCCACACGATTCACGTAGGTCACCTATTTTGGTTTCAAAACGGCGAATTTCGCCGAAAGGTGAGGGATTTTGATGCCTGACTTAAAGAATGAAATGTGGTATTTTTTTGGTACTCTGTGTATTAGACCCAACATTTTGCCTTGCAGGTGTTTGAAGTCTCCACATCCGGCTGCACATCAGAGTCAGGTGAGAACACACCAAACAACTCGGTGTGGTTTTGTAATTATTTGGTAGCAAACGGCTTTCACAATCACTTCCTGTTTGCTTCATTTATTTATTTATTTATGTAGAATCAGACTGTTGTTTATCCAACAGTGACAACAGAAGAAGGTCCACTATGGAGAGATGAACTTCTCGAGGCTCAGATCTGGACCGTCCTCGGTCTCGGAGCAGGACGGTGGACAGCAGGAGGACACTTTGTATGCGCAGGTCAAAGTGTCCAAGGCAGCAGACAACGTCACACGGACTGCTGACGTCCCAGAGGATCTCTACGCTCAAGTGAAGAGAAAATGAGCCGTTTCTTGTGGTCACATTTGGGTTTTATTGTTAAGATGCTTTTTACATAAATAACAAGCTTTATCTGTCAGTTTATGGAGAAAAAGAATAGTGAGAAAATGTAATCTTCACTGCTCACAGTTAATTAAAGAGGAACTTCAAACCTCCACATCCTGTAGCTCAGGTAGTTAATTTCTTCATACTTTTGACAGCGTACGGTTTGTGTTTATCAGATCGGTACAAATAAAATTCCCACGGCTCTAAATAGAGAAGTATTGTAAACGAAGACTCTGTTTATATATCATCATGTTTTATAATAGGATTTTAACTTTTTGCATTTTTTAAAAGGCTTCTTTAAACCTCATTTATTAAGCTATTCATTATTTTACATCTTTTACATTAACCACGTTTTATTGAACTATTTCTTTTCCAAAAGCCAATAATTTACTGCATTTCAAGATATGTATTAATTTCAAGGTAATAAAAACCATATATCTCAGTTGCATTTATTGGTCCATCATTTCACGTGTTGTGTGCAAACTTTTGAAACATTACAGTCAATAGTATAATAAAATATCTGGTGCTAAAATACACTATAAAAGAGGTTATGGGTGTAAATAAATAGAGGCTTCTTAGTTAGCTGCACTGGTCTATGTGTGTCTCACTTTACATGCATAACATCAACTACCGTTAAAGCGTCTGTATCTGCACAAGCGCACTAGACTACCGTATATGACACCTCCCCCTCTTTTAGGTGTCATGTCAATAACATCGAAGGAATACTTCAACTGAAAATGGCAACTCAAACAGCGCATAGCATAAACCAAGATGAACTCAAATTAAGAAATTTCAACATACGCTGGTCTCATACCGATCAACCGACAAAACATTATCAATATCATTGGCTGTACAACCTTCTTTCCTACTCACTCACTCCCCAAAAACGAATAAGATCTGCATCTACTGGTCAAGCCCGTCGACTGTCAACCAGATCTGCACACTCTGGTTCATGTGAGATCTGGTCACAGTCTGGTTAGAGGGGTTGTGGATGTTGCCACAGGAACAGTCTCTAACATGGTGGTCGGTCAGAGTGCGTGTCTGTCCCTGAAATGTCCCCGTGTGCTGCTGGGATGGGCCGGGGAACCGGCAGCGGCTGGAGGTGGCGGCCGCCGCGGCTCTGCTCCATGCAGATCTTGATGACGAAGGATCGCTCTTGCTTGAGATCATTGCTGGCAAAGACCATTAGTGTTCATGGTGCAACTTGGAGAATACAACATCTCCTGGGTGCAGGGCAGGTAGTGGCTCGGCTCCATGACGGCGGTTGAAGTAGTGAGCCTGTTTAGCCGTCTTTCACAGCTGTCCTGCAGGGCCATTTGGGTAGGAGATCTTTCTAGAGAGTGTGGAGGGTGGTTCTGATGTTTCTTCAACATCAACAGCTCGGCTGGCTGAAGCCTGGTGGTGGAGAAGAGAGTGGACCTCTCATCAGATTCATCACAGGATCCGCTTGCTTGAGAGTTTTCTTCCTCTGCGTGCCCATTGCCTTGTGGGTGGTGAGGGTGGTCAAGAATACCAACAACGATTCGGTCGCGGATATTCTCATCTCTCAATGCTCTCATCAACGTCTCAGCTTTCTCTCTTTGCACGGGCAGATGGACACATGCACGTTCGTGTCTTACATTCCTTCTCGGCACAAAGTACTCGTGGAACTTTCCAAGCATGATAACAAAATCATTACTATGTCCATTTTTTGGAGAAGCAAACGAACGGAAGATGTTCTGACTCGCTTCCCAGAGCGTAAATCAGGCTGATAACCTGCAGGGCGCCATCCTTTGTTCAACTTAATGGCGGTTCTAAACCTCAAAAAACGCTGCTTCCACTAAGCTCATTCTCCCGGCTTATCGAAGGAGAAGTTTAATGGTGGATTCACCATGACTCGGTTTTCACTTCTGACACCATGTAAATAAATGCAATAGAGGATTTTTAGTTAGCTGGACTTTATGGATCACCGTGTGTTTCACTTTACAACAGCAATTACCGTTAAACCCTCAGTATATGCGCAAGCACACTAGACTGCCGTGCATGTGACGTGGGCGCAGAGAGGTGTTCGTACTGTTAGAAGGTCTACATACAGGATTAGGGAAAGTGAAACCTGAAAACACTACAAGACCATTTTTAGCGAAAGTTAGCTAAAAACTGTCCGGGTCAGGAGCCTGTTACGTTACATATTAGTTATTCTTCCAAAAGTTATGAAAATAATGAACGACCTCTCACGCATCTGTGTACGGGTCCATACGTACGCAGCTTCTGTCTCCTCTAAACGAGGCAGAGACATATAACTTACGAACATACAAATCTAAACAGTTTCAGACACATATTACACATGTGTTGCTCCACATTTTATAGCCTATTCCCCGGCCTAAATACGTCCACTGCAAACACGTATTCTCATGTAGGTTAGTGCATGTAAACCAACAGATACGAATTTCAAAGAAATTCCTGCATTAAAATAATGTATCATCACTGTTTCGATGATTTTAAATGGTCATTTATTATCACACCAGCATTTAATTATCTCTGCAAATCCTTTGTTTCCTCGTTACTCACAAGTCATTGTAAGTGTTGCAAGGCTAAGGGACTAATCTGCTTTACTATTATAGACCAACAACGCCACCAGGAATTATTAAAGGAGACCACCAATCTACGGTCAACCACCGGACAGGTTCAGACAACACAGGCACTGGACATGAGTCCACAAACAAAATTATAAAAGTTGATTTTTGATAAATTATTTTTCTTAAAATATACAAATGTTTAATTAAATCTTCGTTCGATGCGATATTACACCAAAAAAGGAACGCTTAAGCGTTTTTCAGGTTACCATGGAATGCAACGTAAGGGGGTGCTGAGGGCTCACAGGCAGAGACGACTGCTGAGGGGGAAGGAGTCTAATGTTACACAAACTATTGCCACCAAGGTGCACTACAGAAAAATGAAGGGAACCACCACCGGGATGAGCCAGTCACTCCTACAGGGTTCTTGCACCATTTCAAAAGTAACATGTAATGCTTTTTAAGACCTTTTTAAGACCTCAACAAATATAATTTAAGACCCAAAAAGGTCACAATTTCTTTGGAATTCGCAATTTATTGCCTCCTACAATGGAAATCAAAACTTTTTTTCAAAATTAGGAGACAGTATAATAACTGACAACAACCCTTCCAACACTGTTTGGGCAATATAGATGTAAACAAAGTGATTCCTTTGTGATGCAGAACAGAGCCAACATAACATACATAAGTTTGAATTACACTAAACACAATGCATTGCGAATCGGGGAACATGGCAGCAAAGACGCCACATATGTCATCCTTAGATTTAAATGAATTGTGCCTCGTCACAGTATGGAGAACCCACAGTTCCTCTGCCTTTTGGGTGTCTGGTGTTGAAATGAAACTTGTTACAGCCGACTGAGAGGTGGCGTCTGAACTTGTAACATCGTTGCAGGGATTAACCTGGCCCCGCTATGGCTCGCTGCTGCAACGTATCGCTGGTGCTTTCCTCCTTTCATGTGCGACTCGACGGCTTTGAGCCCCACGGTCCCTAATGAAAAGGTCTTTTAGCATAGTTTACACATTGCCTCATTGTTGTTTTCAATCGGCGCCAACCACCTCCTAAATGCATCCTCTTCAATCCACTTGTTGTTAAATTTGCACTTCCATCTTCTTTGCATTTTCAACCTCACATCGACAACCGCGTAATGGCGACACGCAGCCTGACGTCAGCGTCTGTAGCCGACGTACCGTAAACAGCTATTAAATAGCGCGGACTCATTTCGCACAATACTAAATTAATCAACTATTAGATGTTTTACGATGCGCCACTGTGCTTTCTCGTCGTCATTAAGCGTACCGGCAAAAAAAATCAATACCTACAGCAACTTTACGTGAAATTTAAGACAATTTAAGACCTTAATTACCCAAATTTTAATTTAAGACATTTTAAGACTTTAAGGACCCGCGGGAACCCTGTCCTACCAGTGGCACCAACAGCTCCTGTTCATCAAAACAAAAAGAAAAGCAACCATTAGCAGTGCAATATCGACCAGGGCGCACACACACACACAAAAAGAAATGATTAAATAACACAGAAAAACAGCCCAGACAGAACAGCAGTGGGAGGGTCCCGCAATACTTAGAGGCCCGCTTCAGCAGGTGAGCCACTGGCGGGACGTAGAAGCTTCAGCGCCAGGGTGGTGCACCACAACGACGCAGCTTTAACTGCAAATCAGATGTAACAGACATCTATAAAACAGCTGGACGAGGCACATGTACACCTAAGCAGTACAGAGTAGACAGCCTACCGTAGGAATTGAATGCTACGCATGAGGAGATCTGCACCGGCTTGAAGGACACGCTCTCCCACCTCCAACCGCAGTCGGCGACACACACACACACTCTCTCTCTCTCTCTCTCTCTCTCTCTCTCTCTCTCTCTCTCTCTCTCTCTCTCTCTCTCTCTCTCTCTCTCTCTCTCTCTCTCTCTCTCTCTCTCTCTCTCTCTCTCTCTCTCTCTAGGCTGCTCACAGTGAGCAGCCTTAATAAACAATGCTATGATGTTTTGAGCATGCAGATACCAAGAGGTTAACAAGGTGCTCTCCTGCTGCTTGTTATGACAGTTTACATTCACCACTCAAAATCACACGCACAAACACAACTAAAAAAAAATTATTATTAGTTCAGGAATCAGGAATGACTCCTGATTTCTGAACTAATAATTTATTTTTAAGAAAGAAAGTTTAAGAGAGTGAGTACGTAATTGAACCACGTCATTAACACACATTAGTCTTTGCTCCTCCGGAGTTTCTCCCGCGGTTTTGTCTGTTTGAAAATCTTCTCCAGTTGCTAACTTCGGGACTCTTTGGGGTAAATAGGATGTCTATGCAGCGAATAGGATTACAGATGCGCTCCTTAGCGCCATCTATCGTCGCGGAGTTTGAAAAGGAACGAACGCGCTTCGGCCCAAAATCAAAAAAAAAAATTGCCGTTAGAAATTGGTTGTGTGGCGTGAGTGCGTGTGAAAACATGCAAAAGCGTGTGTCACACGGCGAAACCGTGAGAGTTGGTAGCTCTGAGTTTATGCACAATCCGCTGATACTATTTCTCCGTGATTTAC